AGATTGGGACATGTAGAGGGGGACATGTGTGGGGCGTGGGCCTGGACCCATAGGAGGTGAGGAGGGAGACATGTATGGGACATGCAGGGGGTGGTGGGGGCACATGGAGGGGTTGGAGGACCTGCAGTAGACATGCAGAAAATACAGAGGGCACGCAGGGGCTGGAGCAGAACAGCAGGGTCCCAATGGGCTCCAGCTGATCCCTGCCCCCCCGGCGTGCAGCTCGGCCCCCAGCTCCACCAGCAGCTCCCCAAGGACATCGAGGCCACTCTGGTGCTTGTGGGTGAGTGCTGGGGGGTTTTGCTGTGCCCCACTCTGCTGTGCGCTCACCCACCGCCCCTCTGCTGCTCCCCACACCCTCAGCCCCCCCCAGCTCCAGTCCCATTCTGTGTCCCTGTGTCTGTCCCTATGTCACTGCATCCCTGCATCTCCATTTCTCATGTCCCTGCACCCCACTTCCCAACGTCCCTATAACCCCATTTCCCTGTGACCCTATATCCCTCGCATCCCAATGCCCCTATATCCCATTTCACATGTCCCTGTATCCCCATCATTTCCCAATATCCCTATATCTCATTTCCCATTGTCTCTATACCTCCACTTCTCCGCACTCCCACATCCCAACGCCCCTAATATCCCATTTCCCACATCCCTGTATCCCCACCATTTCCCAACATCCCTACATCTCATTTCCCAACGTCCCCCCCCACTTCCCTACACCCCAATTCCCAATATCCCCATACCCCAAAGCCACATCCCAATACCCCTACGCCCCCCTTCCCAACACCCCTATATCCCACCCTACATCCCATCTCCTCCACCCCCACCCCCACACCCCTCCCCCCCACTCATTTCCCCCCTGACCGTCCCGCTCCCCCCAGGCTGTGCCGCATTCCTGGAGCAGCCCACGCTGGCTGTGGTTCGGCTCCGCGCTGCGGTGCCGCTGGACGCGGTTCTGGCGGCGCCGATCCCCGTGCGCTTCGTGCTGGCGGTGCTGGGACCCGACAGCCCCCGCCTGAGCTACCATGAGATCGGCCGCGCCGCCGCCACCGTCATGTCTGACCGGGTACCGCCGGCAGCTCCGCACCGTGTGCCCGTGTCCCCGTGTCCCCATGTATCTGTGTCCCCATGTCCCCGTGTCCCTCATTTCCCCATGTCCCTATGCATCTGTGTCCCCATGTCTCTACATCCCCATGTCCCTTTGTATCCATGTCCCCGCATCCCCATGTCCCCATGTATCCATGTCCCCATGTCCCCGTGTCCCCATGTCCCTATGTATCTGTGTCCCCATGTCCCCATGTCCCCATGTCCCTCGTGTTCCCACATCCCCATGTCCCCATGTATCTGCGTCCCTGTGTCTTTACATCCCCATGTCCCTTTGTATCCATGTCCCCGTGTCCCCATGTTCCTATGTATCTGTGTCTCCATGTCCCCATGTCCCCATGTCCCCATGTATCTGTGTCCCTGTGTCTTTACATCTCCATGTCCCTTTGTATCCGTGTCCCCATGTCCCCGTGTCCCCATGTCCCTATGTATCTGTGTCCCCATGTCCCCATGTCCCTCATTTCCCCATGTCCCTATGTATCTGTGTCCCCATGTCTCTACATCCCCATGTCCCTTTGTATCCATGTCCCCACATCCCCATGTCCCCATGTATCCATGTCCCCATGTATCCGTGTCCCTCATATCCTCATGTCCCCATGTCCCCATGTATCTGTGTCCCTGTGTCTTTACATCTCCATGTCCCTTTGGATCCATGTCCCCATGTCCCCGTGTCCCCATGTCCCTATGTATCTGTGTCCCCATGTCCCCGTGTCCCTTGTGTCCCCACATCCCCATGTCCCCATGTACCCATGTCCCTGTGTCTTTACATCCCCATGTCCCTTTGTATCCATGTCCCCATGTCCCCATGTATCTGTGTCCCTGTGTCTTTACATCTCCATGTCCCTATGTATCTGTGTCCCCATGTCCCCATGTCCCTCATGTCCCCATGTATCCATGTCCCTGTGTCTTTACATCCCCATGTCCCTTTGTATCCATGCCTCCATGTCTGCATGTCCCCATGCATCTGTGTTCTCATGTCCCCATGTCCCTTGAGTCCTCATGTCCCCATGTCCCTGTGTAGCTGTGTCCCCATGTCCTCATGTCCCCATGTCCCCATGTCCCCGTGTATCTGTGTCCCCATGTATCTGTGTCCCCATGCCTCTGTATCTCCATGTCCCCATGTCCCTTTGTGTGCAAGTTCCCATATCCCCATGTCCCCATGTCCCTTGTGTCCTCATGTCCCCATATCCCGATGTATCTGTGTCCCTGTCTCTACATCCCTATGTCCCTTTGTATCCATGCCTCCATGTCCCCATATCCCCATATCCCCATGTCCCCATGTATCTGTGTCCCTGTGTCTCTACTTCCCCATGTCCCTTTGTATGCATGCCTCCATGTCCCCATGTCCCCATGTATCTGTGTCCCCATGTCCCTTTGTATGCAAGTCCCCATGTCCCCATGTATCTCCATGTCCCCTGTCCCCATGTATCTGTGACCCCATGTATCTGTGACCCCATGTCTCCATATCCCCATGTCCCCATGTCCCTCTGTACCCATGTCCCCATATATCCATGTCTCCACATCCCCATGTCCCCATATCCCAGTGTCCCCATATCCCTGTGTATCTGTGTCCCCATGTCCCCATGTATCCACAACCCCATGTCCCCCTGTCCCCACATCCCCATGTCCTCATGCACCCTTGTCCCCATATGAATGGTGCCTGTGAACCCCTGCCCCACTGTGTCCCCATGTCCCTGTGTCCCCACATCCCTGTGTCCCCATGTCCCTATATCCCACTGCACACGTCCCATGTCCCTGTATGTTCCATATCTCTGTGCCACCACCACCCCCTGTCCCTGTGCCCCATATCTCCCTGTAGCTCCACATCTTTGTGCCCCATGTCCCCACGTCTCCAAGTCCCCATGCCCCTATGGCCCTCCATGCCCTCATGTTCCCACACCACAGCGTCCCATGCCCCCACCTTCCTGTGCTCCTATGTCCCCATGCCACCTCCTTGTCCCCCTGTCCCATTTCCTCATGGCTCCATGTGCCACATCCCTCTATAGCTCCACGTCCCCACGTCCCCACCTCCTGCTGCCCCCGTCCCCATGCCCTGCAGCCCCAACACCTCATTGTCACCATGCCACACCATCCCACGTCCCATCTATGCGTCCCACCTCCCCGTGTCCCCACTCCACGTCCCCATGCCCCACGTGCCACCACATGCCCCTGTCCCCTTGTGTCCCTTTACACCACACCCCACAGCCCAGCATCCCTCTGTCCCGGTGTCTCCACGTCCCCATCGCCCTGCGCCCCCACACCTCGCGTCCCCACACCCCCCGTCCTGCTCACCCACACCCCTCCCCAGGTGCCCCCACATCCCAGATCCCCACCCCCCTTACCCCCCTCCATCCCACAGGTGTTCCGCCGCGACGCCTACCTGTGTAGGGGCCACAGGGAGCTGCTGGGGGGGCTGGAGGATTTCCTGGAGGCCAGCATCGTTCTGCCACCTTGCGAGGTGCCCAGCGAGCAGCACCTGCGTGCCCTGATCCCACTGCAACGCCAGCTGCTCCGCCGCCGCTACCAGCGCCCCGACACCGCGCACAGCCACGGCGTCCCCAAAGACACAGGTCTGTCCCCACCTCGGGGTCCGTCCCCACCTCGGGGTCCCCTTTACCCCCCACATCCCCCTTCCATCCCTTCCCCACTCCCCCCCCAGGTCCCTTTGCTTTAGGAGATGTCCTTGCTGTCCATAGGGGTTAAGGACCAGGCTCCGGAGGATGACGACCCCCTGCTCCGGACGGGGCGGCCGTTTGGGGGTTTGGTGCGGGACATCCGCCGCCGTTACCCCAAATACCTCAGTGACATCAGGGATGCGTTCAACCCGCAGTGCCTGGCTGCTGTCATCTTCATCTACTTCGCCGCTCTGTCACCCGCTGTCACCTTCGGAGGCTTGCTGGGTAACGTGGGGACACGGGGAGCCGTCCTGCGTGGGCACGGGGTCACCGCCTGCCGCGCCATCCTGTGTCCCCGCTCCCCAGCGTCCCCACATCTGCGCGTCCCCGTGTCTCCCCCTACGCCCTCACCCCCCTGCGTCCCTATACCCCGTGTCCCCGTGTCCCCATTCTCCCACGTCCCCACGTCCTTGTGTCCTCATACCCACGTCCCCTCTGCATGCCCCCACATCGCCGTGCGCCCGATCCACATGTCCCCATGTCCCCGTGTCCCAATATCACATGTCCCCATTCCCCCGTGTCCCTATGCCCCCATTCCCCCATGTCCCCATGCCCCCATGTCCCCATGTCCCCATGTCCCCATGTCCCCATGCCCCCATGCCCCCATGTCCCTTGTCCCCACGTCCTCGTGTCCTGTCCCTATATTTCCATTCCCCAGTGGTCCATGTCCCCATGTCCTCGTGTCCCTATATCCCCATGTCCCCATGTCCCCATATCCTCACACCTCAGTGACCTATGTTCCCATGTCCCTGTGTCCCCATGTCCTCATGTCCCTATATCTCCATGCCCCAGTGTTCCATGTCCCCATGTCCCCATGTCCCCATGTCCCCATGTTCCCATGTCCCCTTGTCCCCGTGCCCCCCATGTCCCTGTTTCCCTGTATCCCCATATCCTTGTGTCCCTATATCTCCATGCTCCAGTGGTCCATCCATGTCCCCATGTCCCTGTGTCCCTGTATCCCCATGTCCCCATATCCCCACACCTTAGTGTCCCATGTCCCCATGTCCTCGTGTCCTCATGTCCCTATATCTCCATGCCCCAGTGTTCCATGTCCCCATGTCCCCAATTCCTCACACCTCAGTGTCCCATGTCCCCATGTCCCTGTGTCCTCATGTCCCTATATCTCCATGCCCCAGTGTTCCATATCCCCATGTCCCCATGTCCCTACATCCCTATGCTCCCTATGTCCCCATGTCCGTGTCCCCATGTCCTCACGTCCTGTCCCTAAATTTCCATACCCAGTGTCCCATGTCCCCATGTCCCTACATCCCGATGCCCAACATGTCCCCATGTCTCTGTGTCCCCATGTCCTCTTGTCCTGTCCCTATATTTCCATGCCCAGTGGTCCATGTCCCCATGTCCCCATGTCCCCATGTCCCCATGTCTCTGTGTCCCCATGTCCTCATGTCTTGTCCCTATATCTCCATGCCCAGTGGTCCATGCCCCCATGTCCCCATGTCCCCATGTCCCTACATCCCCATGCCCCAGTATCCCACACCCCCACGTCCCCACACGCACAGCACCCCCCAGGAGCCTCCAGCCCTCTGCGCTGAGCATTTTGGGGTAAGGGGGGGTGGCGGCTCCATCTGCATCCCTCCCCCCCCCCCAAAGCACACGTGGCTGTGCCCCCCAGGTGAGAAGACCCGAGGTATGATGGGGGTGTCGGAGCTGCTGGTCTCCACCTGCGTGCAGTGTTTGCTCTTCAGCCTGCTCAGCGCACAGCCTCTGCTCGTCGTCGGCTTCTCGGGGCCACTGCTGGTGTTTGAGGAGGCTTTCTTCTCGGTGGGACCCCAGCTGGGGGGGGGGACAGTTTGGGGGTGGCAGAGGTGTGATGTCATGTGGCACTTATGGGGGTTGGCACTTTTGGGATGGCACAGAGGGAGTGGTGCTTTGGGGTGGTGTATATGTGATGACACTTTGGGGATGGCGCAGGTGTAATGTCGTGTAGGGTGATGGCATTTTTGGGGTGGCACATAGGGACGGGCAGTTATGGGAATGGCACCTTTGGGGTGGCACATAGGGTCTGGCAATTATGGGAATGGCACTTTTGGGGTGGCACAGGGCTGATGCCATGTAGGGGGGTGGCACATAGGGTCTGGCACTTGTGGGAATGGCACTTTTGGGGTGGCACATAGGGTCTGGCAATTATGGGAATGGCACTTTTGGGGTGGCACATAGGGACAGGCACTTATGGAGATGGCACTTTTGGGGAGGCACATAGGGTCTGGCACTTGTGGGAATGGCACTTTTGGGGTGGCACATAGGGTCTGGCAATTATGGGAATGGCACTTTTGGGGTGGCACAGGGCTGATGCCATGTAGGGGGGTGGCACTTTTAGGATGGCACATAGGGGGTGGCAATTATGGGGTGGCACCTTTGGGGTGGCACAGCTGTGTTGTTACATATAGGGTGGCACCTTTCGGGTGGCACATAGGGACTGGCACTTATGGGGTGGCACCTTTGGGGTGGCACAGCTATGATACCACATAGGGGGATGGCACTTTTGGGATGGAACTTTGGGGATGGCACCTTTGAGGTGGCACATAGGGACTGGCACTTATGGGGTGGCATATATGTGATGACACTTTGGGGATGGCACATACTGAGTGGCGCTTTTGGGGTGGCAGAGGGCTGATGCCATGTAGGGGGGTGGCACTTTTGGGATGGCATTTTGAGGGTGGCACCTTTGGGATGGCACGTGAGGAGATGGCACTTCTGAGATAGCATATATGCAATGACACTTTGGGGATGGCGTATTTGGAGTGGCGCTTTTGGGGCGGCACATGGGGGATGGCACGTGGGGGGTGGCAGTGGGTGCCCCCACCCCACGTGCAGGATGCAGCCATGGGGCTGATGGGGCCGTGTCTTTTGGTGGCAGTTCTGTGAGGGACACGAGCTGGAGTACATCGTGGGACGGGTGTGGATCGGCTTCTGGCTGATCCTGCTGGTGCTGGTGGTGGTGGCCTGCGAGGGCAGCGTCCTGGTGCGCTACCTGTCCCGCTACACACAGGAGATCTTCTCCTTCCTCATCTCCCTCATCTTCATCTATGAGACCTTCGCCAAGCTCGTCACGGTGAGGGGAGGCGGGGGGTCCCACAGAGCCAGAGAGAGCGGTGGGATGCAGCAGGGATGGAGGTGTGGGGTGCAGCAGGGAGGGAGGTGTGGGGTGCAGTGGGATGGAGACGTGGGGTGCAGCAGGGATGGAGGTGTGGGATGCAGCAGGGATGGAGGTGTGGGGTGCAGAAATTGGAACTATGGGATGAAGCGGGATGGAGATGTGGGGTGCAGTGGGATGGAGTTGGGGTGCAGCAGGGATGGAGCTGTGGGGTGCAGCAGGGATGGAGACGTGGGATGCAGTGGGATGGAGCTATAGGATACAGTGGGGATGGAGCTGTGGGGTGCGGTAGGGATGGAGATGTGGGATGCAATGAGGATGGAGATGTGGGGTACAGAAGATTGGATATGGAATGCAGTGGGATGGAGCAATAGGGTACAGTAGGGATGGAGCTGTGGGGTGCAGAAATTGGAACTATGGGATGAAGCGGGATGGAGGTGTGGGGTGCAGCAGGGATGGAGATGTGGGGTACAGCAGGAATGGAGTTGGGGTGCAGCAGGGATGGAGATGTGGGGTGCAGTGAGATGTGGGACTATGGGGTGCAGCAGGCATGCAGCCCAGTCCATAGTGCTTTCTCCCCCCCAGCACTTTCCCACCTCACACTTCTCCCCCTGGGGGGGTCTCTGGGAGCCGTGCTCTGGGCTCCCCCAGGTTCTGCCCTGCCCCCCAGCTCAGTGCTGTCCCCATGCAGTCGGTGGTGTTGGGACGGCGTCACCCCCGGTGCAGGTGGGGCTGTGTGTGGAGCCATCCCAACCTCATCTCCCACCCCCCAGATCTTCAAGAATCACCCGCTGCAGTGGGAGTACGAAGTGAATAACAGCACGGACCCCTCGGTGCCCAAACCCAACACGGCGCTGCTGTCCCTCGTCCTCATGGCTGGCACCTTTTTCCTCGCCCTCTTCCTCCGCAAATTTAAGAACAGTGTGTTCCTGCCCGGCAAGGTGAGCCTGGGGGGTGGAGGTTGGGGTTGGGTGTTGTCACCCCCCCACAGTGTAGGGGTGTCCATTTGGATGGAGGGGGGGCACACAGGGGGGCTCAGTGCGGTGTCCCCGCAGATCCGACGCCTGATCGGGGACTTCGGGGTGCCCATCTCCATCTTCATCATGGCCCTGGCTGACTTCTTCATCAAGGACACCTACACGCAGGTAGGGGGGGTGTCCCTGTGGGAGGGTGGGGGGCGCAGAGTGACCCCAGAGCGCACACGGTGGGAGGGGGCTGCATGGTGCCCCACCTGATCTGCCATCTCTGCTCCTGTGCAGAAACTGAAGGTGCCCAAAGGGCTGGAGGTGACCAACAGAACGGCTCGGAATTGGTTCATCCACCCCATGGGCAAAACGGGGTCTTTCCCCATCTGGATGATGTTCGCCTCCGTGGTGCCCGCCCTCCTGGTCTTCATCCTCATCTTCCTCGAGACGCAGATCACCACGTGAGGATTGGGGTGGGGAAGGGGGGGGCGGCGGGGCGGTGGGGGGGGGGCCCACCCTGTCCTCATCTCCCCCCCATCCTATCCCCATCCCCTCCTGTCCCCATTACAACCGCCATCTCCATCCCCTCCCTGCCTGCGCCTCTGTC